GGAGGGGCTGGAGGGGCTGGAGGGGCAGGAGGGGCAGGAGGGAGAGGAGGCAGAGGAGGAGGACAGCCAAACAGGTCGACTCCACAAGCATTGCATCATATACCGCTCGCACCAACGGCCGTCGGCCTGAAAGGCCACAGCAACTTGAGCGCTCCAAAGATCCAGGGCGCCTTGGCAGTGAGCAAACGCCCAAGCGAAGCATCACACATCGATCTGTACCATCACACTCAAACAGCAGCATAACTCTATGTCACAATACGGCAACAGCAACGCTGCTACGGAGAGTTCAAACCGTCAACCACCACCATTGCCTGAGCACCTTGCGCGTCTTAGTCTGCAGGCGAAGCCTATGGCGAGGCTACCGACAGCACTGCCAGTTTTTCTGCTGCACAAGTCTCACTCGCTAGGAGCTGCAGCTCAAGCAAACGACTGGCATAATCTATTTCCTATATTGAACGTGGGTGTTGTAATTTTCACAGCGCGCACTTTTGGGCACCAATGTACTCTTCGCCGGCGTTGGGCCCAGAAGATTTGTTTGCCGCCGGCCCTCCCGAGATGGCGGCTTAGTTTCGCCGGCGCCTACTCATCGCCATCATTATCATCAACATCATCATCATCGTCACTGCTACAACCATCATCGTCATCATCATCATCATCATCAGCGTTATCGTCATGTTTCCTGTATGTTCCATTCACCGCATCTGGCAGAACCGTTCTCATTGTTTGACCATCATCCTCATGATCGTGTGATCGTTTTCACCATCAACATCGTCATCACCATCGTCAGTATCACTATCAGATTCGTTATATTCACCATTATCATTGGCGACCCTGAGAGGGTGCATCATTTTCGCCGGCGTTTGGGTGGCGTATTTTTCGCAGGCGTGAAGATTAGGCCCTGGGATAATTTTCGCCAGCGTGGCACCCCCCACGACGTTCGTCCCCCCACGTTTAATAAAGGAAATAGAGTACGGCCGGCTGGTACAGTCCTCGCACATACATACCAATGTGACTAGCTCAACATCGCGCACTCCGCATGGCATACTCCACAGCAGGCCGCACCAGCGCAGGAGGTGCTGTTGTAGTCTACAGCCACCGCCACGGCTGCCTTTTTCGAGCCGCTATACGCAGCATATTTTCAGCACCGCCGACCCAGGCGACACGCAATGCTGCACGCCAAAAGGAGTTGCATAACACGCTGCACCACCCTAGTGCCTGCCCTGGCTTTAGGGGACAGGAAGCGCCTGCATCTGCTTGCACCCCAGCATCCAACAGTACTCGCTTTGTCAGCGCCACGGTGCACAGAGCAGCCACCACGGCCAGCCGCTCCACAAAGTGACCACCGCAATCTGCCTTGCGCCGATGACCGCAGCGACGACAGCATGAACAGCAGTCACCACAAGTGCACGTTTCAAGCATGTGGGAGCTTCAACACGGTCGACCCGCTGACCTGATGCTACTGCGTATGCGACAGCTGTGCAGCGATACCTCCAAGCTGCAGCGCCCTTCTGAACATCTGCACCTGACGCCACCCGTGCCATCTCCTGACGCCTCCCCGGGCTTCTTTCCAGCACCGCCCCCTCGCCGGGACGCAGTCCTGAACGCTGCCCACTACTTGCCGACACACCCAAACCCAGCCCGACGGTCCCAGGCCCGCCAGATCTCCGACGGAGAGGTGTGCGGGTCCCACTGGGGATGGTCGTCGGGGGTCTGTGGGTGTCTCTCGTTTTTTTTGTTCGTTGGGAGCTGGGCCGTGCACTTCTGAGAGCTGGTTGCTCGTCCCCCACGGTGCAGGCAGGGGACGCGCAAGTTTTCGACGGGGCGTGCGATGGTTAGTCAAAGGTTCCATGTAGCGCTCGTATATCGAGGGAACACAATGGAACCCGGTTCCACTGTGCCTCCTCGGTGTGCCCGAGCGTCCCCCCGTTGGAGACTGGCAGGCCCGACGGCGACTTCGGGCCAGCTTGGGGCGGCTTGGTGGGTAGCCCGCGGCTCTCGCGCTCCCCAGCCTCGCGGCCTCCTCGCCCTCCTGCTCCCCGCCCGCGCCGCGCCTCTAGGTGGGTAGCCCGCGGCTCTCGCGCTCCCCAGCCTCGCGGCCTCCTCGCCCTCCTGCTCCCCGCCCGCGCCGCGCCTCTCGCCCTGCCGGCGGCACGCTCCCGCGTGCCGGCGGCCGCCACGCATTGCAGACCGAGGCGGTGTGAAGCCTCACGGCGCACGGGCAGCACGCTTACAGTCAGAACCGACTGTAAGGATGCGCCATTTTCCCAAGGTTACCCCTGCATCATTGCCTCTTCGGTCATCTTCGGTCCATCCTCGACCACTTTCGATGGCGAGCCCCTCTCGAAGAGCTGACGGGGCTCAATGCGAGCGGGGGTCAGCCAGAGCGCCGGCTCTTGCAGGCTCCTGCGGAGCCAGGCTTGCACTGACCCTGTGCAGCGCGCAGGATCCTGCTCGGAGGGCACCAACTATACACCAACACCGATCCTGGCCCAGGATCACCCTGGGCCCAGGATCGGTGTATATGCCTTCTTGCGCAGGGCAGGAGGGCGTGTACACCGATCCTGGGCCCAGGGTGATCCTGGGCCAGGATCGGTGTTGGTGTATAGTTGGTGCTTTCCTAGCTGCGGGATCCTGCAGGACCTTGCAGGGTCCCGGAGAGCACGACTGGCCCGGATCTGCGCGGCCCGGGGTCAGCAGGGCCCCCGACGCGCGGTCAGGACCTTTTTGGCGTGGCGTGTCGCGCCGCCGGCTCCGGCCTCCTCCTCCCCTCCTCCTCCTCCTCTCCTCCTCCTCCTCCTCCCTCCTCCTCCTCCTCCTCCCTCCTCCTCCTCCTCCTCCTCCTCCTCCTCCTCCTCCTCCTCCTCCTCCTCCTCCTCCTCCTCCTCCCTCCTCCTCCTCGTCCTCCTCCTCCTCCTCCTCGGCGCGACGCGCTGACCAGTCCCCAGTCTCCAGGCGTGAACGTCCCGAGCTTTTCCCGGACCCCCGCCCCGCGGAGCAGAGCGACAAGCTATCAGCTCGCAGGGCACGGCGTGTCGCCGGGGACGCCGCCGCGACACACATTAAGTAGTCAAAAGTTGGTGACCGTGTGCGTATGTTTTTTTTTCCTCCAGGACCCTGCTTCTGCACAGTGCCGATCCTGAGGTTGCTTCCCACGTCGTTTGGTTTCAGCAACCAAGACTCTTGCGCCCACAGCTTGTGCTCCCCGCCCGAATTGCCTGCCCTCGCGCTTCTCACACTTCGCCACGCCATCCACCGGCGCTCTTTTTTTCAGATGCCAACTGTTTTCAGCTAGCCATGCAGGCCGTGCTTCCCACGCGCACCCTCCTCGGTGCCCTCACACCCGCCGCGTTTGCAGGCACGTCTTCGCGCTACCAGGCTCTAGACAGCACGGAGGGAGTAGCCATTCTTTTTGTGGGCCGTCCTTTTTTTTCACACGTCCGCGTATCAGCCTCGCGCTCCCTGGCCTCACCGCCTGCCTCACCTCGCCAGCGCTCGAGGCCACCCCACAGCCCCGCCGGCACTTTTACCTGTACGTGCAGCTCTTCCGCTTGTGACGGGACGTGCGCATTGCTTGGCATCGCTCGGACTCGTGCACGTTTTCGTCGGCGAGGACCATCGAGGAGCATCCCTGCTCATCTGGCGAAAAAGCCACGCACGAAACCGACAAAAAGCACAGGGAGTGGACGTCCGAGCGATGGCGAGATTCAGGAATGGGGAGATGGGCTGCCACCCTTCTGACCCCTCCTCCTCCTCCTCCTCCTCCTCCTCCTCCACCTTCTGACCCGCCTCGTCTTGCAGTTGTTTCCCTGGCCCGCCTCGGGCCCCCCACCTCCGAGCCGCCGCCGTCGGCTCCCCGTCCTGCACGCGACGTCCTGCCAGCAGGCACGCTGCTCCTCGGACACGGCAGGCGCAGCTCCGCGTCGGCGCAGGGCATCAACTACGCCCCGGCACCCCCAACCCATGGAGCCTCTGTTCTTCGGACCCCCCCACCCCACAATTTTTCGCCCAAAACCGACCGACGCCCCCCACCATGACCCCCACCACGCTTCCACCACGCTTCCACCACGCTTCCACCACGCTTCCACCACGCTCCCACCACGCCCCGGCACCCTCAATGGCCGCGAGGCGGAGGGTTATGCTGTTGCAGCCTCCTTTAGCCTGGACCACCAGGAAGCATTTCGGGCACCAGAAGAGCACCGAAACTCGAGGGTTTCCACGTGTCGGGCCCTTGGAGACACTCGTCCGACGCTGTTTCGACACTCTTTCGACGCTCTTTCGACACTTCTCCGGGTGCTCGAAATTATTTCTGGGATGCAGTCCTCAAGTACGATGGGAGCAACATACGCGGAGGGGAGGGATTGCCGGAGGGGGGGCGGCGGTGGCGGCCTGACGCAGGCTTGTCCATCGCGCGTGCGCGAGCCGACCCGGCGCCTCCGCGCGCCCGAGCCGCGGTAGCGCGCCAGCCGCGTGGGGCAGGGGGCAGGCCCGGCCTCCTTGACCGGGCTCCTGTGCCCTCGCCCAGCGCGTGGGAAAAGGCTCCACAGTCGTCCCCGCGGCCTGCTCCGCTCCCGGACGGCCGCGGCGGCGACTCCGCGGCCCCGCTCGCTGGACGGACAGCGACGGCGACGACGCGCCAGCCCGTGCCAGCGCGCGCCGCCGCCGCGGCCGCCGCCGCCGCCGCCTCCGCCGCCGCCGCCGACGACGTCGCCGCCGTCGTCGTCGTCGTCGTCGTCGTCGTCGTCGTCGTCGTCGTTCTGTCCTCTTGGCCGTTCCTGTGCGTGCCAGCGCCCTGCCCCCCGTCGCTCTCGGTGGTCTCGCCGCTGCGACTGCGGTGCTCTAGAGAGCGGGGGATGCTCGGAGGTTGCGAGTCGGTCGGGCGAGACGTGACCAAGCCATTCGGTGAGTCTGAGGTGATCCAGGGAAGACGCTGCAGCAGAGACCACTCCGGGCTCAGGAGAGGCTCTGGCTTCCGTGCCGTTTCTTCGACTTCAGTAGGTCGGGGAACCCATTCGAATCCGAGGCTCGTCGCGGCCAGAGAAGCCCCTGCGAGGTGACTACCTCGTGCACTGCGCCGAGATGGTCCAAGATGGCCTGGCACGAAGAATCCGTAGCCATTTTGGCTCAAGCCATTTGGGCTCGAGTCGTTTGGGTCAAAGCCTGGAGCAAGAACAAGAGGACAAGAACAAGAACAAGAGCAAGAACAAGAGCAAGAACCCGAGCAGGGGCAAGAGCAAGAGCAAGAACAAGAGCAAGAACTTGAGCAAGAGGCGGGCTTGGATGGCGAAATGCAACCAAGAAGGGAACGCGAACAGGAAAAGGGAAGGGTTCAGTTGGGTGCCCGGTCGTACGCGTTCAGTCTGGGTACACTATTGTCGCCAGAAGGAAAGACCGTTTCTGCTATTACCGCGCACATGCAAGAGGAGTTTGGGCCCGGGGCGGTTCCAGCCGATTGGTCGTCGCTGAAAGGTGCCAACCCGTCCCGCTCAGAGCTCTTGGCATTTTTAGATGCGTTGGGCTTTCGGAACGCTCACGTACTCGTAGATGGGCGTACGAGCAGCGACGGTGGAAGCCGCTCTTATTTCATAGAGCGGCACGACGGTAAGGTACCCTCTGGCTGGCTAGTGCATGACACTATCCAAAATAATATCCTCGACTTGGGCTCTTGGCAACTTACTCTTCCCTGGCTGGTGGATGTTACAGAAACTGCCGACCCGGAGGATGCCACAAAGTACGGTTGGCTCCTCCGCAAGTACAGCCGCCTCATGCTCAAGGGTTTGGCTGGCCTCATGCGCCTCTTGATGGAGGATGTGCTGAATTTGTTCGTTCAGGGGTGCTTCTTGGTCAAATTTTGGGATAGATGGGGCTGGCTGGCGCGTGTATTCACGATAACCTCCATGATGGCCGGTCTGACTTGATCCTGCGCAGGACCAGTCAAGGATCTGATGGGCGCGTATGCTCAGCGGCGGGAGGCCTCCGATGGCGGGGCGGGGTTTAGGCTGGACGACGGGACACGAGTGGACGACCAGCAGCAACCGGGGAAAGACGGCGAGCCGGACTCGACTGAGCCGAAGCCGGAGGCTGCTGAAGATATCCGAGTGGAGTTGCTGAACGTCGAAGCTGGAGAAGAGTCGAAGGCACCAAAGAGACAGAAGGTTGTTCACTACACTGGGCGGCTTACAGACTTCATCGCAGACGCCACGGTGGTGCACTCGAAGCTCGCCCACCGACTCCTGATTGCTTGCTCAGTCGCGTATTGGACGAGCATGGCCTTGATCCCAGTGTTGTTCGGGAGTGGGATCGAGGGCGGAGAGGATTCCTCCATTCCCAGCGGCGCGGTGTTATATTTCATGGCGATCAACATCTCCAGCGTCATGGTGGAGCTGTGGATCGGAAATCACCTCGAGCGAGGCGCCTACTTGACCATGTACTGTTGCGAGATGGTGGAGAAGGCCTTGGGCGGCCAGTACAAGGAGCTTATGGCGTTGGGCGCGGCTGGGTTGAGCATCGTCGGGCGGTATGACACTTTTACAGACGTCATCTTCTGCATCATCTTGAGCAAGACAGAGCCCATCACCGATTTGCATTTCTCGCATACGTTGGGCGTCCATGTCCACCTTCCCTTTGAGTTGTATCACATCTCATTGTTCTCCCTGGTCTTCGGAGTATTCGTCCTCCAGGGGATTCCTGGCATGTTCCTCATCATCTGGAAAAAGTATCTTCCAGTTGCCTTCAAGCTGAATGAGTTCAATTTTCTTTTGGCGCTGGTGGAGTACGAGGAGGCAGAAGAGGAGTACGAAGCTGCGCAACAAGTTGACGGCTACCAACCAGCACCGTCATGATCTAGGTCTGTCATTCGGAAGTCGAAAGATCATTTAGCTTGTGGACCCTCTTTGCACGGCAAGTGTGGAAACGTCGGGCCCACTACGTTCTACGTGCATTGGCTGCATTGGCCGCAGGCCGCGATTCGTTCCTGTTTTCCCGGCGTTGGCGCCTCTGTGGGCGCCCATTTCATACTTGAGATCTGCTAGTGGTGTCTTGCTGTGGGGGTAAAACAAAAAAAATGGCCTGGCACGAAGAACAGTAGGGCAC